ATGCTTACAAAGGCCATTTTTTAATAACCCATTCTCATTTTATATATGCCATGTTTTCTTCTTATCTCTGAAAATATTTATAATAATTTTTGAAGTTTTATCTCTTCCTGGTGAATTATGTCTATTTTCACCAAGTTAAAATTGCTTTTTTTCCACAAATGCATCATCAGTGATCCACCCATATTGTGAAGCAAAACAATAAAAAATTATGAAAAGCTCTTAGCATATTATGAGCAGAGCTTGTCAGCTAATGGAGTTCACCATGATCAGGTAGTCACGTTGGGAACTCTTGTTACTATCCATAGGTTTTCTTCTCTTGGGATGATCAGTTTCCCTAGGGATAAATCTCTTGCTGGTGTGAAAATAAAGGATAGAGCCATTGTATAAGTCTCACTGCCACTGTGGGGAGCCCAGGGGAGTAAAAAAATGGGCTCATCGCTGTAGGCTTTCACTTAATCTCCCTTTTAACTGTATGGATTTCTGCTGTCAATGTATTTCAGGCCCCGAGTTCAGGATCATTCTTTTTCAGCCTCTCCTAGGGGTTAAACCTCCAGTCATCATCATACAATGGGAACATATAGAGGAGGATATGTTGGCTTTTCACTACAATAGAGACTTCAAATCACGTGTGCTTTTAGTAACATCTGCATTTCTACCTGCTTCCTCCAGTCCCTGAGCCTTTCAGGAGTTCTCTGACATGTTTCAGCTGACAGAACCTCTCAACCACAGCTTGCAGATATTTCAGTTTTGACTTTTCTACTTGGCTAGTTGAGTTTCAGCTCATACATCTGCTTTCCAGCCTTCTAAAATTCTGTAATATCTCTTCTCTGTTGTGCTGTCCTCACTTTGCAACCTCATAGGTTTTATAACACTTTTATTCTTTTAATATTATTTTTCAGTGGTTTTAGAAGAGAATAGAGATTTGTATTCAATCAGTCACGTAAATTGGCTCTCCAGTGTTTGTTTGTGTACTTAAACCATATTTGGCAATTTAGTAGGCAGAAAGATGGAATCTTGTAATTTGCAGTTACTTTGTATTCAATTAGGATGGGCATTTCTCTATCTTTATTAATGCTTTGTGTTTCTTGTGGAATTTTCATTTCCTTCCTATGTTCATATTTTTTATGTAGGGACATTATAGTTCTTCTTTAGTTGATAGGTAAGAACTTATGCATTTTTTAATTTAAAATTTTTTGGAAGAAGAAAATATTTGTTATTTTATTAGTTGGCTATAGCTATATATACATATTTCTTTTATTTTACTTTAGGTTCTGGGGTACATGTACAGATCATACAGGATTGTTGCATGGGTTTATACATGGCAATATGGTTTGCTGCCTCCATCCCCTTGTCACCTAGACCTGGGATTTCTCTCTGTGTTATCTCTCCGCAACCTCCCTACCCACTGCTGTCCCTCCCCCAGGCCCCACAAAAGACCCCAGTGTGTGATGCTTTCCTCCCTGTGTCCATGTATTCTTATTGTTCAACATCCACCTATGAGTGAGAACATGCAGTGTTTGGTTTTCT